TCACACCTCAGCCTCTCCAGTGAAGTTTGTGTTTGACAAGAAGAGCTCGTCTCTGTACCTGCGGGGTGTTCCTTTCTCCAGTACCAAGAAGTCTCTCCTCTCTGATCTTGATAATCTGGCAACCCTGCTTCGAGACATCCGTCTCAAGGTTTCAGGTATGTGTTTCAAGTCTCTGCTTTAGCTTATTTTATCTATTGATTGCAGTTGTTTTTACCTGTGTGTGCATCCAAGTAGGGGGAGAATATGATGCTGGTATTTCCAATGTGGAACCGGAGGCCCAGAACAAGCATGAGGAGACAGAGGAGGTTGCTGGTGATGGTGCGACATTCTGATAATGTTGGAACCACTTGTGTGTTTTCTGTTTGGTTCAAGAACTTTTGGGATTTGTGTGCTTTCGTTTGTTGTAATAGCATTTGAAAATGCTTGAACTCGTTTGGTTTTGGGTTTGTATGATGTGTGTGCTACTTAAACCTATCTAGTTCAGTTTGTGATGATGTTTCTTTTGGTGTGATAATTGTCAGAATTGTTGGATATTTGGATATGTGTTATCTGTGCTGTTGTGTCCTGCGTGTTTGGTCTTTTCTTGTAGGTGTATGCTTGGATTGACAAACTCAGGTAAAAAGAGGGAGATTGAAAGAACCTGAGAAACTGGTTCTGTTCTGTGGTACTCAGCTTGAGCGAGGGAGCTTGTAGCTGGTGAAGAAAAATCAACTGGTGAGCTGGCATCTCGAGCCTAACAAAGAGATGAGTGGGTTTCACCAGTTAAGCAGATGGGAAGTCTGCAGAGAGTAGATGGAGTCTACTGAAGAGAAGGTAGAAGCTTCACAAGTCATCATCAGGGAGATGGTGGACTTGCCCTTTGGAGAAAGGTGTTAGGCGCGTGGGACACTGTTGTTGTCGGCGCGTAGCACTGTAGCTGTCTGCTGGACTGGACTATAAAAGAGAAGCAGGGAGCTTTCTTTTCTAGCGGGCTTTCGAATCGAAAACAGAGAGGTCCTGAAGCTCAGGGTTATAAGAGAGTTGTAACTTGGTGAGCGAAAAGGAGAATCAGCTGTTGCTGGTTTCAAGCTTGGGTAGTTAGAATAGCTTTAGGAGCAAAACACTTGGGTAGTGGGTTTGCATAACTCTGGGTAGAACAGATCTATGATAGGTTGTTCTAAGATATTCTAAACTTAGAGCTTGGGTAGTTGAGAATATAATCAGGAACAAAACACTTGGGTAGTGGGTTTGTGTAACTCTGAGTTGAGCAAATTATAAAAGATTATTCAATCATATTCTTATACAAAGAAAGTTTTACTGCGGTATTTCTGTGTGTTTGTGTGTTATAAGGTCCCTGGTTATTTCAATAAACTTTAACTACCGTAAAAATAACATCTTGTAATTCAGAGTTATTGTAACTGCTTTTTCTCTCATCTCTATGCGGTCATGCGATGGAGTTTTCTGTCGATTCAATTATGGTTTAAAATCATCTTCTCTATTTCCTCCTTTCTTTAAGGATGATCATGCAATTTACGTCGGAGTGGATCAGTATTCCGATGGTTTCTATCCGGTGTTTATCTCCGTTGTGCCGATCGGTTATCTCCACAACGAGGAATGGTTTTCTTCGTTTGATGAAGAATGGCTTTCTCTCATCATCATCAACGTTTGTTGTGGGATAGGTTCCGGTGAGTTTCTCTTGTGAAATATATGATCGGGTAATCTTTTGGTGTCTTATGGTTTACGTACCAAATTATAACGGCATTATTGTCGAAACAAACACCATGGAAACCACCTTGAAGAAAAAGACAATGTTTCAGAATCAAAAGATACATTTTCTTTGTTGTATGGTGATATTCGTATAATCATTGAAATTCGCAGTGCGAAGATTTATTTTGATCGAAAGAATCAGTATATTGGGTTTTTAATCGAAGAATATGTTTAGATTTTATTCGGAAGTTGGTCAACGTTATACAACAAAGAGATTTGGTGTTTGGTTGTTTCATCGAATGGGTGATAGCCAAAGATGAAGATCGCATCGAGTCGAATGCGAATATATGGAAGAAAAATAACAGAGTTGTTATTCTGTTATGAATAAGATTTTTTAGAGAAAAACATCGTTAAAATTATTTCTTTTGTTTTCCAAAATTTTAGTTATGTAATTGGTTGTAATTTTCTTATTTTCTGTATGTGTTATGTACTTTTTGATTTTATATAGATAAAAATTAGATGTTAAAAAAAAAACTTTAACTACCGTTTTATAAAAGTCTA